TTTCTAATACTCTCCTATTTCAATTGCATTTAAACTTTTTCAAGTACAGTGTTACCTTTTATTAAGGTGCTCATACCCTGTGCTAAGTTTAATGCATATAAATTTTCCTTCTAGATTTAATATGCTTAATTAATTTTTTTTTTCTTAGATTAATATATTATTAAAATTCCTATTGATTTGCATGTCATATTGTCTCATTTTGGCTATGCTATGTTTTTTTTCGAAGGTTTGAGCAGTGAGTTGTTGCTATACCATCGCTAATTTGTACCAAATATATAATATGTATTTATAAAATGAAGTTCTAATCTTGTCCTTTTGAACCAGGATGTTTTATAATATTTATGAGAGTATACATTAAATTAAACCTTGCTATTTGACTATTTTAGTTTAAAAAATATAAAATATCCAAAAGCAATAAGATAAATTTCAGTCAATTATATACCCCCAAGAAAACAATTAATTAAATTTATGCATCAAATTAAATGTTAATACTAAATATTAACAAAATGCAACCAAATTATTTTTAATTGTTGTTTATATATACATTACAATTTGTATAAACCACAATATTTATCTTTATATATTAAATAAAAATATAGTATTTATCATGTTGCATTGTCCATTTGGTGTTCAATCAATAAATGGACATTAATCATTAATTTTTTTAATATGTCAGATCCTTTTCATGGTAGCCACAGGTGAAATATGGCAATTTTGCTGCTGGGTTTTCCATTAAACGTGTCAAATCAATTTATGAATTGATCAGCTCCACTTAAAATGTTTGACACTTTGAAATTATTATTTGATTTTTTTTACCATTATATTTTTAGAGAAATCTCATACTTATCAAAACCCTTTACTATTTTACCCCTTTATTTATTTTTGTAGAAGATAATCTTTATAATTTTGTGATCCAAGTGAAATATACTCCTCTTATTACTGATTTTTGCATTAAAATAAATGTCAAATCAATTCACAAATTAATCATTTCCACTTAGGGAATTTTATTTACACACCATACAAATTTTGAATAAACAACATAAATGGTGTTTAGATATAAATTTCTCAATAAAAATTAGATGTTCAAATTTTAAGTTATAAACAATAATAAATTATTCAAATATACATTTTATTCAATTGTTTACATCTCAAAAACTTTTTTTTTGGCATAAATTTTTTAATATTTAAATATTTGATTTTTCTTTATAAATTTATATTTCAATCACATTTGTAATTAGGGATGGCAATTTGAACCCGGCCCGACGGGGACCCGACCCCCCGTCCCCGATAAGAATGGTTTTTCCCCGAAAAATACCCCCTACGGGCCGGGGATGGTATTTAAAAATAAATCCCCGGTGACATTCGGGCCGGGGACGGTGATACATATTTCATCCCCGGCCCCGCCCCCCGCCCCGGTTAGCCCCGATTATTTTATATATATTATATATATGTTTAGGGTTTGGTTGAACAACTCAGCAGCTCCTCTCTTGCACTTTCTATCTCACACTCTCTCACACTCTCTTACACACTCTCTCTCTCTTCTCTTCTCTCACTCTCTCTCTTCTCTTCACACGGACGAAAGAGCCTCCTCCAGTCCAGGCCACCACCACCTTCTCGTCCTCCAGGCCATTGCCGCCTCCTCCTCCGTCGCCTCTCGCGGCCTCGTCCTTCATTGGCTCCTCCTCCGCCAGACCTCGTCCTTCATCATCCTTCGTCGACTCCTCCTCCTCCGTCATCGCCTTTCGCCTCTTCCTCCCTCTGCCATGGCAAATCTGATAAGATCCCACCATCGCCACCATCGATGTCCTCCCTCCCTCCCACCAGATTTGTCTCTATTTTTTTTTTTTTTAATGATATTGCTGTTGATGACGTTTTTGTTGATGAAAATAATGTTGATGATCGATGATGTTGTTATTTGATGATCGATGATGTTGTTGATGATGATTTGTTATTGAGAGAGAAAGTTAGAAAGAGAGAGAGAGAGTTACGGGGATTTTCCAGGGTCGGGGAAACCCGATCCCCGTTAGGGGCGAGGCCGGGGGAGTGAGGGGTTCCCCGCCGGGGCGAGAGAGAGAGAGAGAGTTACTATAACCTCATCAAATGTTTTGGCCAGAGTACTGAGCCTTGTTTTCAAACTCAAAGTTGAATAAGAAATGAAAAGTGAATTGTATCATAGACTTAGTTGTCATGGAATTGAAATAAGATATAAATGGAGGTATATGTATTGACCATCTTTCAGTTGATAATCTTTTAGGCATTGTTTATAATTGGTTTAGTATATCTCTGCTGGGCTGTGGCTCACCCTATATGGGAACATCATTTCAGGTTCAGGTAGCATGCCACCTCCAAGGACATAGCTTGGGAGGCTAGAGGCGGACAGACTTTTGTTCTCTTATCTCCATTTGATGTGTTACATGTAAATCCAATGCCAAGGGCTTAATGTGTAACCGAGTCAATACTCTCTTTGTAACCAAGTGTTAACTTGGAAAGCTGTAAGCCCGTATACTTTTGTTGTTAACGTGTAATACTTTTGTAATGAAGTACTCTGATGAATTGAGGAAATGTGGATCATTTGTATATAAATGTATGTTTATATTGATGGGTTTAATGTTATTATTTTGAGGGCGTTACAAGTCCCCCCGTACTATTAGTCCCACAACTATGGGACTATCCTATCCCATGGGGGGGAGATGGGATAGAAACCATGGGATTGGTATTCCATGGGATTATTTTGTGAAATGTCAATTTTACTCTCTATGCTATTACTTAGCAAACAATTAGCACAGTCCTATTTGTCTTATTATATTCATATTTAAGAAGGAAAAACAATCACAACCTGTTTACAGTTGCTCTAATTACTTCCGCTGCAAATGAAGTTTGTCCGTAGTTCTTACAAAGCAAATTCAAAGGAGCTCTTCTTTTGCAGTATTTGGCATTAAATTGTAAGTTCTCAGTGATATTTATTACTCTTTAATTTTTAACTGTTTACATCATCTCTGATTCTTCACCAAACCCCAAAATTTAATGATTTTTTTTGTGAAAATGAGGTCAAATCCTTTCATCAAACTTGTATAAAATCAACAGAGAATTAAAATTTTCACCAAATCAAGGACATTTTCACTGTCAAAGACATTCTTTTCCTTCTTAACTAAGACAATTTGCATTTTGCTCAGTATTGTTATCCTTGTATTACAACTTTGACATGATTGTAAACTATACCAACGTTTACTTTTTTATTCAATGATTTATTCATTTATTCTAGCATTTAGTCCTAATTTTCAAAGTAAAACTATTTTTCTAAAATTAGTTGATATAAAATAAATACACATATTAAACTTCTATAAATTTCTCTTACAAATCCTTAAAATAAAATGTTACTTTTTTTTTTCCATAACTGTTGTTTGCTAAAATATGGGTTTTGCTTTTCTTTAAAATTGAAAATTTCATTTTTACAGCATTATTAATAATTATAAAGGACAATTAAAAAAATATCCACTATTTGAGCGTTATAACAAAAAAAAAATTCCTTTAATTTAAATATCAATCTTTTGATTTCTGTCCAATCCAAACCATTTGGCTATTTTCAATTTCTAAACTACCTTTCTTTTTGTATCTGCAGTAGTCACAATTTCACACTCTCCTACCAAGTTAACTAAGCATTGCCAAGTTCTGTCTTTGCTTTAACTCTTTAGCTACAATTAAAAATTTGTTCCTTTCATAATTTTTTTGCATGTTATATTCCAAATAATTATCATTCTTTAATTTATTTATCTTTAGAATATTATGATATACATATGTCAATTAGCACCATTTAGTGTTTTTCCACATAAATAGTATTGTTAAGCATAGGACATAGCTTGATACAATCCATTCGTTCTACTAATACAAAAATAAACTTCTTTTATGTAGTTTTAGTATGTAGTTGTGCAACACAAAAATGCGAAAACGAAGATTATGTGCTGACCAGGAAGATGCAGATCAATCTTTGGTTAAAAGTACAAAACAATTTACTTTAAAACTTTTTACTTTTGTTCAAACATTCATTGTATACATATTTACCCATAACTTATATAAAAAAAAATTAAAATATTAACCTTTTACATATATACTTTATTCCTCTGCTTACAGAAAAACAAAGGCTTGAAAAAAATAGAAGACTGCGAGAGGCATATGCTAAAAAGAAACAATATCTACTTTCACAAGCTGAAAACTCTGTTGGTATTGATTTTTCCTTTAAATCAACATTAGATTTAAATCAAAATCTTACTACTAATCTTAGCTTAAAAATTTCATCTCTTGTAAATCTAACATATTTGCCAAATTAATTACTGGTACATTCCATAGACGTCCGTCAAGATAAAAAAAGGAAACGCACATCATCAACAAAAAATAGAGATTTATTGATTCAAGGGAGCAACTCAAATCAGTAACAATTGCGTATAGGTAACTGATAAGAAAAAATATTGAACGTGATTACATAATAACATAGTAATTCTAAAATCATATGATAAACATTTCATTTAGTTTCTTTCTTTCTTTTTCTTCTTATTTTTATTAGGAAATCATGTTTCAACTGTTCAATCCGGCTTTGTTACATGTCATGACAACAGAGGGAAATCCCACATAAGTTATTTCGGTATTTATGAAAAAGGTTTGAATCTTATTCCTTTAAATAATTATCTAATAGAATTATAGCAACAAATCTAACATTAACACAAATTAATTTTCATAGGTTCCACTTCCGGAACAAATCATCGCTCAAAACCTGATGCAAGTTGATTCTAAATTTAAATTCTTTACAAATTAATTTCTTTGCTTAACTTTCTAAATAACAAAATTATATCTTCCGCTTCATAGAAAATTGTAGTTCGCGAATATGGAAGGCTTCTAACAAAAAAACATGTGGCATTCCAACTCAACCTGCTATCTTACCACTACAAAGACCTTGCAACTTTTGTGGTGTGAAAAAGTTTTACGTTGAGCCTAATAGCTTTTGTTGTATGGCTGGACAAGTCTCTTTGGTTTCCAGTAACTGTCCTCCAGAACTTGATTGGTTATATACATCTAACTCTGAGGAAGCAAAAGAATTTCGTACCTATGTTCGAACATATAACAATTGCTTTGCTTTCACATCTTTTGGAGTCAAATATGACAAGGAACTATGTCGATTCATTAATGAGCTTACATCTTCTGATGAAAATCTTAGTCATCTACAGCTCTACTTTTATGACACTGATCATGAAATCCAAAATAGAATGAAATCTTCAAAAAAGCTAAATCCTGTTATTCTTGAAAGGCTCACAAATATTTCACATCTAAATCCATATTCAATCTTCTTCAGGAGATTAGAACACATAGATCATTTGAACTCTGTACAAATTATTATTAAATCTGATGTATCGTTAGATCAGAGAGTCTACAATCAACCTTCAGCCTCACAAGTCGCAGCAATTTGGTCTGAAAATGATGTCTTAACCAAAGAAATCTCAAGAGATATTGTTGTTCATCAAATTTCTGGTCATAGTGAAAAAGTTCAATGGTATTTTGGATGTTATGACCCATTACAATATCCATTGTTATTTCCATATGGTGAATCTGGATGGCATTATGGTATTGATAGAGTTGACAAAAAGAAGCCCAAGGTAAATAGATCCTCTCCTTATCAATTAAATAGTATTAAATTTTTTTTACTCCTAACTAGAAAAAAATTATTTCAGTGTTTTAGAAACAAAAGAATAAGAACTACCATTTCTTGTTGCGAATACTACTGCTACAAGCTTCAAATACGACCCAATGATTCTTCAATCTTACTCCGCTCTGGTCGTCTCTTTCAGCAGTATTGTGTTGGTATGTATGTCAAGATTGAAACATCTAGACTTCAGTTCTTTCGAAACAAACAAAGAGAAATTAGGGCTGATTTGTATCAAGGAATCATAGACAGTGTCACAACAAGTGAAGCTAGAGGTTCAAAGATTGGTCACAGGGTTATACTACCACCGTCATTCATAGGTAGTCCAAAAGATCTTAGACGTCGATATGTCGATGCAATGGCTTTGGTCCAGCGATTTGGCAAACCTGATATCTTTCTTACAATGACTTGTAATCCAACATGGCCAGAGATTAAAGCTGAGTTAGGACCTAATGAGGAAGCTCAAAATAGACCAGATTTAACCTCTCGTGCTTTTAGAGCAAAAATGGAACAACTGAAGGATGACATCATAAAACATCAAATCTTTGGGAAAGTCGTTGCATATGTCTATGTCATTGAATTTCAAAAGAGAGGTCTTCCACATATGCATCTATTATTAATTCTAGCACCTGGACAAAAGCCTTTATCTCCTGATACTTATGATTCAATCGTATCTGCTGAACTTCCTGATCAAAAAAAACATCCTCATTTGTTTTCTATGGTGGTCAAACACATGATGCATGGACCTTGTGGTGAAATGAATCCAAACAACATTTGCATGAAGAATGGAAAATGCAAAAATCATTATCCCAAAAATTTTGAACCTATAACAAGATCTTCCAAAGACTCATACCCGATATACAAGCGTCGTGCTGATGGTAATCAAGTGAAAATCAGAGGGCAAATTTTGGACAACCGTTGGGTAGTTCCGTACAATCCATATCTTCTTGCCAAATATGATTGCCACATTAATGTGGAAATTTGTTCAACAATCAAAGCTGTCAAATGTTTGTACAAGTATATTTACAAAGGCCATGATAAAATTGCATTCCATATTGTTCAAGAAAATCAATCAGAAATCATAGATGAAATCCAACAATTTCAGTCGGCAAGATGGATTTCACCTCCAGAGGCAATGTGGAGAATTTATGCATTCTCTTTGAATGACATATACCCATCAGTAATCCATCTTCAAATCCACCTTGAGCACCAACAATTTGTTACTTTCAATCCTTCAGATGACCTAAATTCTGTGTTAAATGATCTCATCCGTTCGAAAACAATGTTAACTGAATTCTTTTTGATGAACAAGTCAAATGAAAAGGCAAAGCTTGCAAAATATTTATATAAGGAATTCCCTGAACATTTTGTTTGGTGGCAACAAGATAGAATGTGGACTGAGCAAAAAAAGGGCAATGTTATTGGGCGCATTGTCACAGCACATCCTGCACAAGGTGAAAGATATTACCTTCGGTTACTTCTAAACAACATCAGAGGGCCTACATCATTTGAATCCTTGAGAACCATAAATGGAAGAAAAGCAAAAACTTTTCGAGAAGCTGCCCTTCTCTATGGTCTCTTACAATCAGACAACAATCTTGAACAATGCTTGGAAGAAGCAATCTCTTACCAAATGTCTTACTCTCTAAGAAGATTGTTTGCAACCATTCTCATTCATTGTGCTCCTAATAATCCAAAGCAATTATGGGAAAAATTCAAAGACTACATGGCAGAGGATTATGCTAAAACTACAAATCTTTCAAAACAAGAAATTTTCAAAAAAGTTCTACAAAGCATAAATTCAACTCTTCAATCAATGGGCAAAGATATCAAAGATTTCAATATTTGCTCTAATAACGTGCTCTCATCTGATAATCAAGATACCTGTCGCGAAATTGAAGAAGAAATGAATATTGTTGTTTCTGAAGTTGATTACCAATCTATTTCTCTATTATCCTTGGAACAAAAAGCAGCATTTGAAAAAATCTTAAATAGGGTCTTCTCAAGAAAGCAAGGGTGTTTTTTCATAGATGGTCCTGGAGACACTGGTAAAACCTTTTTATACAAGGCATTGTTGGCAGCAATTAGATCCAAGAATTACATTGCTCTTGCAACAGCAACATCTGGAGTAGCAGCCTCTATTCTCCCAGGAGGCCGCACGGCCCATTCTCATTTCAAAATACCTATAGATGTTGATACATATAAATCTTGCAACATAGGTAAACAAACTGGGCTTGCAAATCTTTTGAGAACTGCAGAACTAATCATTTGGGATGAGGCACCCATGGCCAAGAGACAAAACATTGAGGCATTGAATGATATGCTGAAGGATATCAATGAGTCAGAGTTACTCTTTGGAGGCAAAGTTGTAGTTTTGGGTGGTGATTTTCGACAAATACCACCAGTCATTCCCAAAGGAACAAAATATGATTCAATTGATGCTAGCTTGGTCAATTCAGAATTATGGAAATCTATTGAGAAAATAAAGTTGACTGAAAATATGCGAGTAAGGCATGATCCTTCCTTCAGCAATTACTTATTACGCATTGGCAATGGATCTGAATCAGTCAATGATCAAAACAGAGTCAAAATACCAACATCTATGATAATTTCTAACAATTTTTCAAATGCTGAAAATTCTATCAAAGACTTGATTCAAACTGTCTTTCCAAATCTCAAGAACTACTCAAAAGATCCAATTTCAATGATTAATTTTGTTGTGCTCACTCCAAAAAATGATTGTGTACAATAAATAAATGATTTGTTGATCAAACAATTCCTAACAAAGGGTAGATTATATACAAGCATCGACAAGACAATCGATCCAAATGATCAAGGACAATATGAAGACTTCTTGAATTCTCTTGAACCAAATGGTCTCTCACCTCATCATTTAGAATTGAAAATCAATAGTCCGATCATGACTTTAAGAAACATAGATCCTTCAATAGGCTTGTGCAATGGAACGCGACTTATTTGTCGAGATCTCAAAGATTTCATCATTTGTGCTGAAATTGCTGTTGGGGATCGGAAAGGACAAATGGTTTTCATACCACGAATACCATTGTAACCCTCAAATCATCAAAAATACCCAGTTCAGTTTACTAGAACACAATTCCCAGTAAAGTTATGTTTTGCCATGACAATAAATAAAGCGCAAGGCCAAACATTACAAAAAGTAGGTCTTTACCTATAAGAGCCAGTATTCTCCCATGGACAACTTTATGTTGCTCTATCACGAGCTACAACTACTGCAGATGTTAAAGTTCTCATTCCGCCAACAAATCAACATGTTTTGGATAACAATACCACAAAAAATGTTGTTTATGAAGAACTACTAACACTTGCAGGCTGTATATAATTCATTTTTTTGTTGTAAATTTTTGGTAAATTTCCTCTTATGTAATGTAATTTTAATTTTATTTGTATTTATTATAATTATCTATTATCCTTGTATTAAATTCTTGTTAAATTGTTTCTTACAACAAATTTTGCAGGATGAATGAAGAAATAACACCTATCAAAAAAATAACTAGAACAACTAAACAATGGACAGCAAAGATTTGTGTTTTGGAAAAGTGGAATCCACGAAGCCCAAAAACAGGCTCAACAAAATATCAAAGGCTCATTTTGGCTGATGCAGAGGTTACACTTTGAAATTCTTATTTTAAAATATATACCATATTCATTTTTTAGGTTCTTAACAATAACAATTCTCATTTAATTCATAATTACATAATCCACTGCCTCATTAACTTCTGTCATACATACCACTTGTATAGGGTACACAAGTTCAAGCTATACTTTATGAAGATCAAATAGAACAGTTCCAAGATACCTTCAAAGTTTTTAACTCATACTATGTCTCAAATGCTGCTGTGAAGTTGCTACAAGAAAAATACCGTATCACACCGCAATCATGGCAATGGCAATAGACAATCATTGCCAGCACACTTATTCGAGATGTTAAAAACAATAATGAAGATAACAATGCCCCAACATATCACTTTGTACCATTCAATGAATTCTCTGACCATCTTGGCAATGAAACATCATCCATAGGTAATTTTCTTAAATCAACATAAATAATTATCAACTTACTTTTTCATTAGATACTCTTATTGTTTTTGTATCTATAACAGATATTCTTGCAGCAGTTGTTCAAATTAAGCCACCAAAAACAATCACAATAGAAAATGGAACCACAACTGCACAAGAAATTGTACTCATTAATGAAGAGTAAGTATTTTGTATACTTGTATTTAATATACCTTGATTTCAATACTAACAAATTCTCTTAATTGTAGCAGGTTAATGCCAATAGTTTTAACTTTGTGGGATCAGTTTGTCACTAATGAAGGAGAGATATTGCAAGCCATTGCTCAATCATTCCCAACTCTAATTGCAGTCAGGCTTAAAGTCTCATCGTTTCGCGGTAATTATAATCTTACTGTAGACGTGCCCGCGTGGGGCCTTCGTGCTACAGTTCGGACTCGATTTTTGTCACGGTTCTTAATCTGAACCAAAGAGTCCAAATCCGGCAAATCATTTTGAGAAAAACAGATTTTTAGAAAAGAAATGTCAAACATGGACTGCTTTGCCAGATACAGAGTCGCCACCTAAATATTTTATTTTGGAAAATTTAGGAAACCCTGACTCGGTGCCAAAGGCCACGTGTCCGTCATCACCAAAGTTGCCTCGGCTCAGGAGCTTGGGTACGATTGGAGAAGGTCAGCTATGAGCACCCCCTCTCGCCCGATCCGGAGATCGGCCTCTACTAACCGTGATATCCGATTTTGAAAACGTTATGTGTTCTTATTCCAGTTAATTAGCTAGAATTACTATGTGATGCACACAACACAAAAATATAGACTAGATCGCGTAATTTGGAATGAAGCATTGCATATCCGTTTGTTTGAAAAACAGTTTGAAATTTGATACTCGCAGGTAGGCTAAAGCACGGTTTTCAACGAGTTGTTCCAACTCAAACAATCCAACCTTCACCCACAGGCATTCAAGCAGTTTATATTATATAAGCATCTAGCCACATGGTAAGCATGCTGTCATGTTGACATTCACACTCATGCGAGATGCTAAAGCAGAAAAATACTTACAATGTACTCCGAGCCAAGACAAGAACATGTTAGCAATCAATGCATGATCCAAGTCCATGTTAAGTGGCTAATACAACTCATACAGAATGCAATCTAGAATAGGCTTGGCTAATCTAAGGATGACATGTGAAAATGCACAGATAGCATGTATTCAAGTTAGATTTGAAATACTTTATGCAGTTAGCATGATGCGCCAAGCCTAGTGCATGCAAGACTAATGAATGATGCACGCATGCATAGCATAAGGTATGCTAAAGTAAACATGTCCTAATACTAACCATCAAAAGCAGGTAAGTAAAAAGGAGAAAGAAGTGGGGGGTTAGAAGACATGCACACACGCACCCACACTTATTACAAATTTGCCCTCGCTCGGAGGGACCGAAAGAATAATACAAATTAATTAACCTACAAGCTAATTAAATATTACAGACCAATTAATTAATTAACAAATTAACTAATCTAATAAAAGCAATAAACAGCCTCGGGAAGAGGGCCCAATGCAATGCGCGCTCGGCTCCGCTCGAAAAGCCATTGCCATGCACAAGTTGCCTCTGCTTTGACTGTTATCCTTCTCTGAAGACTGCACAAATCTCAAGGTTGCTTCCCTGAATGCTGTGGAACACCACCGGCTGAGGGAATTGGTCACCGGCCACGGAGAATGGTCACCGGCCACAAATTAATCCATCGGCCTCTTATGGATGGCCGGTCGGCACTTCAGATGGCCGGCCGGCCAAATCTTCCTGCAGAATCTGTTTTTGACAGCAGCAGAGGGAAAAACATAGCATGGCAATGCATTTCAAGCAATGTATGCACCAAACACACCCCTTATCATATTCATGACTCAAAGAGATATGATTCTCGGTTCTCGAACCACCAATCGCGCATTTTCATGCATGATGGCCCAAGGAACCAAGTATGCATTTTGATATGGAATGCAATGCACATAATCAAGCAAAGGGAGCTCAACCTCCATCACAATCAACTCAAGAGGTGAAGCATGCATGCCGATGTAATGCATCCTAGGTATGGAGGCTAGTATGCAACATGGCGATGCAATGTGTAATGTAGGTTAGGTACACAACCTAAGTAAAAAATCATGTAAGGCATGAAGCAATGCAACCTACAAGTATGCAAGACACAATATCGATGTTCAAGCATGCAAGCAAGCATGTGACTTCATTCAATCATACAACAACACACTAGTATGCAACAACACACAAGGTGAGCATGCAACAACATGCAAAGGGGTGGACTTAAACTAATTTAGGCAGCCCTCAAACAAGCCTAAAACAATGGCCAATACTATGGAAGTGAGGTCCAACACACACACACGCATGCATGCAAATATGGTCCAACACTTAAGCATATGAAGACAACTTGTAAGCACAAAAACATGGACTAATGACATGCAACATAAGCTCTGAAAATCATGTTAAAATGGTGCCAAACCAAGCCAACAAGACAAGCATAAGCATGCAATTAGAGGTCCAAAACTCAAGGCAAGCTAAGGAGGTATTGAACTACCCTTAGCAAAACCAAACATGGCATGAATTAAATGACCAAAAACAAAGTTTTAGCATATTAAAACAAAGCCTAAAGACCACTTAGATGGCATCTAAATGACTTAAATTCAAGGGCATGCACAATGACCAAACATGGAGCTAGACAATGCTAAGGGAACACCTAGATGGCATCTAAGTGGCTTAAACATGCAAGCATACAAAGGAGCACATTCATGGAGCATGAGGCAACAACCTTTTAAAGCAACAAAGGAGTATCAAATGCAAATATGCGAGCATATTATAAGGACTGAAATAGCATGGTAAGTGGTTCCAAACCACTGAAATAGTGCAAGTAATGCATTCTACACACTCACACACCTAAGGCTAACAAGCCAAAATGCAAGGTGGCTATACTAAACATGCTATGGTCGACCAAAACAACCAAGAACAAAACTTAAGCATGCTAAAATAAACACAAAAGCTTCACAAAGCTTGGCCAAAATCATACTAGAACAAGGATCAAAACCTAAAGCATGTTAAGGCCAAAACATGGCATTACAAGGCATATATGCTAAACAAACATGGTGTACCCAAACCAACTTAACACAATGTTATATCATGGCAATATAAGTGCAAAAATCAGTTAAGGTATGATCAACATGAACCTAAACTAGATGCTCCCTCAAGAGGCAAAAATGGCCCTTTTCAAGGACAACAAGGAGAGGGGGTGGCCCTCTCCTTCTTAGGACCTCAAGGCACCATCCTCATCACTGAAATCCCTCAAGATTTCAGTGGTGAGGAGGCCCAAACACAATGGTCCCGGAGCTCACCAAAATTGCACAAAAAAAGGGTCAAGTAAGCCCTAAGAGGGGTCAAACAACCTCAAGGCTCAAAACACCCTTGACCAACTATTTAAAGGACTCAAAAAAAGAATTTTTATATGTTATATGCTAAGCTCAAAAACAATTGCAAGATAGGCAAAAAAGCTATGCAAAAAGGGGGGATTTAAAGGTGAAGTTGTTGCCCTTGTAGACCTCTTTCACAAACAATGCTCCAGCTGGTTCTTTGAGTTCAAAACCACCCAAGAACACCAAGAACAACCCTCTGGCCCCTCAGCAACCAAGAAAAGGTGTAAGACTAGGTGTTTGTGTGCAATAGTAAGACTAAAACACACACAAGGCAAAGAAAGAGAGAGATATAGAGATAGAATGGATACAAACCCTAACCCTAATATCAGAGGTCTCTCTGAAAATTTTTTCTAACCTAGAGGAGGGAGGAGAGGTTCCCTTTTATAGACAGTCCAATCTTGTAAAGCTTCCAAAGCAAGCTAGCTGGCATGAAAATATCTGCAAAAGCAGATGAACAGTGGTCGGCCAGCCAAAAATGCAATTTGGCCAAAATAAATGGCCAGTCGACCATCTATAGTGCCGTCCGGCCAAATATTTGGCCAGTGGAAACAAAACACAGCCGGTGGCCTCAAGCCATAGCCGGTGGAGTGTGGGGATTGCCAATAAGCCATTCCCCGCCCTCCAAAGCAAAAACATAAGTGTTTGGTGCAAAACCAAACACAAAACATTCGAGTCGAGAGGTCCTAAGGCAAGACGCGTAGCCGAGACCTCCGGGAACTCAAGACGAACACAAACAAGGATGATCACCGAATGTTCAAACGGTGACGTCCAAGTCTTGAGGACGGTCAAAAATGGTAATTATAATCTTACCACATTATACTAGATATTAAAAATATATAAAACACATTTTTTTTAATTTATTTTTTACAGGACAATCATTATCAACAAAACCAACATCAGCTTTTGTGCTCAACCCCAACTTCAAAGCTGCACACCAACTTCACAATTGGTACCATCTAATTCAAATACTCTAACTCAAATAATAATTTCTTACAAACACTAATATCAAAATAAATTGATGCAGGTGCATCCAAAATGAAGAAGTCATTAGAACTTTACCTTCTCCACTTGAAACTCATGTTCGAAACATCACAACTCCAAGTCCTAAAGTAGATAAAATCATTTCCATCAGCAACATTCCATCTTCTCCAAATGCGGTAAGCTTCATATACATATTCTTCTTCTCTATAAGCATCTTAAATATATCATTAGTAACCATTCCTAATCACCTGTTACTAGAAAATGTATTGGGTCAAAGCAACTATGTCCATCACCTGACTTGATCAATCTTTTTGATACATGAACTGCAACAATTGCTACAAATCCATAAATGCAAAATATCAAACTGTTTTCGACTGTTTCCATTGTAAAAAAAAGGAAGTTATTGCAGAACCGTGGTAACAACAAACTAACCCTACGCCTTTTAATATAACTAATGTTTTATGTTTAATAAAACTAACATATAATTTACTACAAACAAACAGAGTCAAATTCCAAGTTGAACTCAAAGATAATTCAGGTTCAATAATGATAACAATATTCCAGGATCATGCAGAAAAGTTCTTTTCAATTTCATCTACTGACCTAATGAAGCATACAACACAGGTCAAATAAATTAACATGTTTCATCTTCAAATTCACTATTTTTCTTCCCAATTTTTTAAATATTCTACATATATTATGCAGGATGGAAAAGTTTCAAATGAAGCCCTTCCAAAATTGAATGTACCAGAATATCACATTATTCAACTAAAGCCTAGCCAATATCAGTTCCGTGGACAAGCAATGCTTCAACATGTCATCACATCAGTGAACAATGATGATGCAGAAC